TAATCTTCATTGAAGCGGGCATGGTCACAATGAAATAAAATGGCATGGATAATAGAGAGTATGAAAATGGTGGCTATCAGCAAGTCTGAGCTTCGTCTAGCAGACCCTACTTTTTGAACCATACACTTTTTGAAGATTATCTATAATAATGAATTATTCAATATTTAAAAAAATAAACATGTACATGCATTTATAGGCATGCACATATGTAACAATAATATTACTTCAGGTCTCAAATTAATCTCATGCTACATTAATAAACCATTATCCCTCACCTCTAGTAGTAATGAATGGACAGTCTTTAGACTTTTAATTATATATTGATTAATATCGGCATGACAACACATCTAATTATAATAAATACTCAATTAAGTGTCATTTTTATATTAATAGGGAGTGAATAATGAATTCCAAAGATGAATTCTCCACCCAATTAATGTACATACATTCACTGATATTGTACATCTCACCCAATAAAATGTATACACATAATTTATAAAAGCTCACATGTACTGTTGTCCCATATTTTCTTCTGGGTTTAAAAATAGCTAAATAAAAATAATTTAAAATTAATTATGAAACTCATTAGATCATTAAAATTATGTCACCTGCTGGATAAACTCCTCTGACATACAGTATGGAGTGTATGGCAGCCTCTATAAATTCTGTAATGACATCAGCTCTAGCTGAAATAATATTATCAAACTGAGATTTTCCCGCCACAAGTACCTTCTTTGAATGGCTCCATTAATAAGTAGGTGTGTCTATAAGTTTAATGAACCATGCCCACAGTCACACCTCCAGATACTCAAATGTAATGGAGACTTCAAATGCAATGTTGTCATTTTCTAATACCGGTATTTCTCCTACCACCTCCTCCTCCTCAATATAATATTGCTAAAACACCATTATAGTTACTTTTCTGCTTATTATTATTATTATTATTATTATTATTATTATTATTATTATTATTTTATTATTATTATTATTATTATTATTTTATTATTATTATTATTTGTCATTACCTGCTCTGTAATGTAATAATATTGATACATGTCTCTATTTATTCAGAATTTTTGTGAAATTCCACAAATGCTATTTATTATTATTATTATTATTATTATTATTATTATTATTATTATATTATTGTTTTTGTGGTGCTTCTGTCTCCATAAAAAATTTTCTTCTTATTATTGTTATTATTATTATTATTCTTTTTCTTTTGTTGCTAGCTGTACTTCCATCTAATGATTGATTTTTGTATTATAAACAAAGTGAATTTTACCATTATTATTATTATTATTATTATTTATACCTGTAACATTTCGTTGCTGATTGACTTGA